AGGAAGGAAGGAAGGAAGGAAGGAAGACTGGGCAGAAACCAAAGACATGATCACTGGGAAATGTAAGGATAGATGTGCTTGCAGAAGAGGTAGGGAAAACATGGTGGCCAGGAGGCTATACTAGACTCCATAGACTTTATGGGCCATCATTGGATCAGTTTGAAGGGGGAAAAGGAGAAGCTGATGACCAACTGAGAACAGAACCAGCAGCCCAGGATGACATGGTTGTACAGGACAGCAACCAGCCAATGTTCAGAATAAAAGAAGGAAGACAATTCATGTTCCAGATGTTCAGTGAAGACAGAAAAATACTAGCATGTAGCAAGGAAAGGACATAGCTATTCACACCTATTTTGGCTCAGTTACCTCCAGCAAAGAACATATGACCCACCAGGCACTTGTGAACAATAAAATGAAGGGGCAGAATTGAAGCTTGAGAGTGATAGAAATATAGTGCTTGCCTCCTTGCCCTGGCATGAGGATAGTCCACTAACCATTTCTGGAGTTCATGTCCGCATGTCTCCACCTGCATCTCAATATTCTCCTGCAACTGAGACAGCCAAAGGGTGGCTTAAGATGCTATGCTCTGGAAGTGGTGTTTCCCTAATATTCTACTTCAAAATACTGTATGGAAGCAATGTAGGACATATTGATGTACATCCAAGAGGCAGCCTGAAATGACATCCCTGTGATGGCACTCTTGTGGCTCTGGTTGGTTCTGCTGGTTTCCTGTGAGACTGGAATCCCCTTCAGTCTGGTTCCTGACTTCTTCATCCACCCTTCAGTCCTCTTGCTTCCACAGATGCTTTTTTTTTTCTTTTCTGAATGAATTAGTCAAGGAGGTGACTTATACAGTGCAAAGCCCTGACTACTCCTATCTGGCTTAAAATATGTAACTGAAAGGACACAACTCTTTGACTACTATAGCCTGAGTGGCTGGGAATTTCCTTCCTTGTAGCCACTGCTCCCAGGAAAGCCATGGTTCCTTGCTTCATCTTCTTACATTATATTATTATGATAATTTAAGCTCCCACACCAATCCCCACAGTTTTCTCAAACTCCAGCTCTTCAGCAGCACTTATCCACTGCTTGCATATCAGTTGCAAAACTTTGGATGACCATTAGATGTCAGCCAAGAGACACAACCCCCCCCCCAAACTCTTTGCTGCCACCTAGAAGTTGATACGTCAAACAGTTTCAAAGGAAAAACTAATCACTTGGTTGACAGTACAAAGGGGAAAAAATGCAGCATATGGAATAACAGGAGTGTTATGCATACCAATCGAATGAGGCCTTTCACATACTGAATGACATTGAGCAGGACTTCAGCCAAGGGAACCACCAATCATGGCTCTTAGACTGTTAAAGCTATATGGACAACACCACAGCACAGATCCATTCAGGTAATGGCATGTTATGTAGGCAGCAAGATTTAGGTTCGCAGAGTTTCCCGTCACCTCTGGGATGGGAGGGGGGCATGGCAAAGCAGCTGTTCAGCTATCAGTGTGATGTGGCTGCCAAAAACGGCCAGTGTAACTTTAGCTTGCCTCAGACTATACAAAAGCATAGTTTCCAAATCACAGGAAATGATAACTCCATTTTATTTTGCTCTGGTGAGATCTTGCATTGAGTCTTCTGTCTAGGTCTGAGCTGTAAGAAACATATAGAGAAATTGGAATAAGTAGAGAGCAGACAAGGGCAATAAGAATAGTTAGGAAACTCAAAATGAAGTTGTATCAAGAAAGATTGAAGGCATTGGGCATATCTGGGCATAGGTAGCCTTGAAAAGAGAAGACTGAGGGGAGATCTGATGGCATTCTTCAAATACCAGAAAATATGTCGTACTGAAGAAGGTCAAGATTGTTATCTTTCATTCCAGAGTGTGGGATGTGGAATAACATATTTAAGTTAGAGAGGATTTCTGTTGAATGTTAGAAAAAAGTCATAATAGAAAGAGCAGTTTGGTAGGGAACCAATTACTCGGAGAGGTGGTCTCCCTTTCATTGGGTGCATCCAGTTCAGATGGATGCTAGACAACCACTGGTCAGTGGGCTTTAAACTGGAATTCTGCACTGACCTGGGAACTGGACTTGACAATTCTATGAGGTGGCATCTCAGGTAGTCGATCCTGAAGCCTACTCCAAGCTAAGCTGGAAAAATGTATCATTCAAATAACTGTCTTTGTGTGTGTGTCTAACATTAAAAACATTAATGTGTGTGGATGTGTGTGGTGAGAGTTAATGTATTACTCAATAAGGTATGGGAAAATTTTAAAATGATTGAATAACACATTAGACAACTTTTGTGAAAGTCCACAGATAGAGATCTCCAATGCATTCTTTTGCAGAATAAGAGTCAAGGATGCTGATGCTTCTCTTCGCAAAAGCAACTGTTGTATGTCTGGACTTGACTTTAAAACTGCACAGCCTTGGGTAGGTCAGATTTTTAAAATGGAAGGATCCAGCCAGTAAGACATGACACTGTAAACCTGAGTTTCTGGCTTGAGGACAGAGAATATAGATTTATAACACTTCAGAGCTAGCTGCTTGGGTTTGACACACACTTTTCATGGTCCTAAGGTGCTTGCCGAATGTAGGCCTGTCATCCACAGATGGATGGAGACTTATGAATATTGCACTGAAAATCAGATTATGCTAAAACATCATTTAAGTAAAAAAAAAAAAATCAGTTGCATAAAATGGGATAAACTTTTTAAAATGAAATGTATACATTGAGCACAGATAACTAGTTATCATCGGTGATCAGACAGAATAATTCTGATTTATACTGTAGGTTGTTTGAAAAGACCCTGTTCTTTTGTTGTTGTTGTTGATGATTAGAATCTAGCAAGGAGGTATCTTTTATTAATTACGCGTAATACTGTTATACATTTGTGTCAGGTTACAAGGGTGCACATTTGTAAAATAAAACCCAGACTTGTATTTTGACTTGGGTGGGATAGGAAAAAAACAAATGAATTATTTCCTTGGGCTCCTCGTATTAGGAATCAGTCCTGCATGAGCTTTCAAATTATAAAAAGGTAGAGAGGATCTGGTTTACCAGTCAAAGAGCATTGCACACAAATTCTGTCTTTCTGCCATAACTAACTCTCTGGATTAAAAAGGCAAAAGGAACTGTGGAAAAACATGGAGTTCTAAATGGAGTATGTCATCAGGCCCCTGAAAATTCCATAAAGGGAACAGAGTGAGTGGACAATAACAGCTCCACCTGGAAGCACCAAAGTTAGGGGTGCTGCTCTCATTTTTTAGCATATTATGGCTGCTGTTTGTTGAGTGTTAGAAGACTTTATGGTTTCCAGGAAAGTCCAGGTTAATTACAACTATAAATTGCTGTAAGCCTGAACAATAAAATGAATTGTGTTTACAATCAGTTATAATGGAATCTTAATGGATTTTCATTTCTTTTGTAGGAATCCAGCAAGCCTTATCCCTCAGACGTATCCCGCAGCCCCCAAAGCCTGAGTGACACTGGCTATTCATCTGATGGGATCTCTAGTTCCCAGAGTGAAATCACAGGCTTAGTGCAGCAAGAAGAAGAGCAGCTTAATGAAACAGGAATTGTAGAGCCAAGTCCTCCCAGTCCTTCTGAACTTACTAAGCTGGAAACCAGCATGCGTCCTCTACTGGAGTCAAAGAGCTTGACCCATCTACCAACTGACCGTGGGAAAACATACCATGAATTAAGGGAGGAGCAGAGGCAAAGACAGAGGCCACGGTCGCTTTCTATCACTCCAGAAGCCTTTGATTCTGATGAGGAGCTAGAAGACATAATGGAAGAAGATGAAGACTCTCTGGAATGGGAGAATCAGAAGGAGAAGAAGGAAAGCATGGAGCCTTCAGATGATTTTGGCAGCAAGCTACACCATGACTATGTGGCAGAAAGTAGTGAAGTAGGATTCTCCCCAGTACCAACTAGGCAGAAAGGCAAAGAGCCTGTAATGACAGATGAAGAATTCATGAGGAGGCAAATCTTGGAGATGAGTGCAGAAGAAGATAACCTTGAGGAGGGAGAAGAATATGATCATGCAAAATACAGCATTGCAAAAAATGGACACAAGCCTGATTCTGAGAAAAGCAGAGAGGCTATCGCATCCAAGAGACGCCTGCCTCACAGCTCGAGCAGCATATATGAGGAGGAACAAAAAGAACTGGAAAGCACTGAGAATGATGACATGGCTGCATCTCAGGGAGGTCTGCGTCGTTTCAAGACCATTGAGTTAAATAGCACTAACAACTATGGCAGAGACATGGAGTTGAGCCAGGAGGCAGACATCAACCTGGACAGAGAACCTGAACTGGAGATGGAGAGCCTCACAGGCTCCCCAGAAGATAGATCAAGAGGTGAATATTCCTCCACCTTACCAGCAACCACACCCAGTTATACATCAGGAACATCCCCAACTTCTGTCTCTTCTCTAGAGGAAGACAGTGACAGCAGCCCAAGCCGCAGACAGAGATTAGAAGAAGTTAAGCAGCAGAGGAAAGCCCGGCATCGCTCTCATGGCCCTCTACTGCCGACCATTGAAGATTCTTCAGAAGAAGAGGAGCTGCGTGAGGAAGAGGAGCTCTTGCGAGAACAAGAAAAAATGCGAGAGGTAGAACAGCAGCGGATCCGGAGCACAGCGCGCAAAACAAAAAGAGATAAAGAAGAGCTGAGGGCCCAGAGGAGGAGAGAGAGGTCTAAAACTCCACCCAGTAACTTGTCACCTATTGAAGATGCGTCACCCACTGAAGAACTGCGTCAGGCTGCAGAGATGGAGGAGCTGCACAGGTCTTCCTGTTCAGAATATTCGCCCTCCATTGACTCAGAGGCAGAAGGATTTGATGTCATTGCCTCCAAACTGTACAAATCTGGCAGTGAGTACAATCTTCCAACCTTTATGTCCCTTTATTCTCCAACAGAAAAAATGGCTAGCTCTAGTTACCCATCCAGCAAGCCCCTGAAAAGTGCAGAAGAAGCCTATGAAGAGATGATGAGGAAGGCAGAAATGTTCCAAAAGCAACAACCTTTCCAACAAGGTATTTCCTACAACAACACCTTTCAAGAAGTAAGCTATCGTAGTTCGGAGGGCCAAAACAATTTTGAATATCAATACATAGATGACTATAGTTATGATAGTCGGAATGTGGATTCCTCACAAACTGACTATCAGAATGAGCTTTCCAAATCTGGGGCACTTTATGAAGAAATCCTTCAAACATCACAGAATATCTCCAGGATGCATCAGTCTTCTTCTCTGGATTTGACACTTGAACAAGAAATGAAGAAGAAAGGGAGAGAAGACCCCTATCCAGAGAAACAGTTTTTGAATGCAGAGAGTGCATATGAAAGTGGCCCACTCACTCCAGGAACAAGTCCTACCCAACTGTCTGCTCCTGTCTCCTTTTCACTGACTGAAAGCAGTGCAGGCAGAATAATCCCCGATGTTAGAGTCACTCAGCACTTTGAAAAAGAGAGTAATGAGCAAACCAAGTTTCATAGTTCCTCAGCCACAGCTAGCTCAGTTCCAAAGAGTGTAGCAATGCCTTATTCATATACTAAAGGATCCAGCACAGTCACTACCATTGTTTCTAGTCCAGCTAGTGCACCCCGAATTTACAGCTCTCCAACTTCAAGTGGCTCTGATGTACCACCTGTGTCCACCACTAGCCAAAGTCAGACGAAAGTAACTGCAAGTTACGGCTCTCAAACAGAAAACGTTTCCAGGGTCAGTGGGCCATCAGTAAGAGACAAATACCAAGGTGCGACTGATAGCAAGACAAATGTACCCATGACAACCCCCAAAATGTATTCTTTTTTCAAAAGTTCTAGCCCACCCCTTTCCCCTTCTTCTCCTACTCAAAGTCCTACTTATTCTGTTCCAAGAACTGGGATGCCCTCTAGTTCAGGGGTGGGAGCTAAATCAACAGCTGAGTTTTCTACCCAAACACATAGCACAATTATTTCATATGACATTGCAACTACTGGGGTATCAACAGCTTCTCCAATGATTGCTCAAGGAACACAAACTCCTCACAGAGCCAGCTCCCCACGGCTTGCTAGGCAACAGTCATCACAAGAAGCCCCCTTTATGGTCATCACATTAGCATCTGACGCAGCTATTCAAACAAAGCCAGTTGGTGTTAGTTCCTCCATTTCACCACCTTCGTCTCCAACTCAGCAAGGCCGCCAGCAAACAGTACATAGTTACAGCCAAACGGTAATCAGTGCAGTGCAACTGCAGCAACAACAGATGCAGGCCACTTACACCAAGGCACAGCCAATGCTTGAAAAAGCCTCTCCTTACACTCCAGGGCAGAAAGTGCAGACCACTGCTACTGACACCATCCCTGGTGTGTACAGCTGGGGCACACTACCTGCAGAGAATATTTCTTTGTGTAGGATATCATCAGTCCCTGGGACATCTAGAGTAGAACCCGGACCTAGGCCATCTGGTAGTAGTATTGTAGATTTGAGGACAGCAATAAAGTCAGTTCCAATTATTGTAACAGACCAGGGAATGGATCTCACATCCTTAGCTGCTGAGAGCAGAAAATATTGCCTCACTATGGACCAGTCACCAAGTCGGCAGTCCACAGCCATCCAACCTCTAATCATTAACCTTAACGCCCAGGAGCAGCCACATGCTATCATTAGCAGTGCCACTACGGTCAGCATAACAGTTGCATCTACTGTGCTTATGTCTCAGTCAAAACAGCCAGCGGTCTATGGGGACCCTTTCCAAAACAGAATCGACTTTGGTCAAGAGACAGGAAGTCCAGTCTGTCTGACGCAAATTAAACAGGTGGAACAAGCAGTTCAGACTGGCCCCTTCAGAGGAACCATGAGTGGAGTTGCCACATCTGCTTCGATGGGCCGGCCGGAAACAGCAGGCCCGCAGCAAACAAAATTTGCAAGATACAATTTGCCCAACCAAATGACATCCTTGATAAAGAAAGATACTCTGATTACTCAGACCAGCAATGCTCAAAATATTGTGAGTGCCATTCCCAGGCAGTTTCCTCAGGATCAAAGCTCAGAGATATACAGAGGGATCCCAGTGGAGCTGAAAACTCAGACTCCTTCAGTTCCTCTTGGAAGTAAGAAGTCCCAAGTGATGATGGTGCAGATGGATGACATAGCAGCAGGATCTGTCACAAAACTAATCAAAGAAGAGCCTCCTTCTAATGCCCTGGACCTCACCGGGATGAAGCCTGAGAGCCAAGTAGCATGCTGTGATGTAGTATACAGATTTCCATTTGGAAGCAGCTGCACCGGGGCTTTTAATCCGTCTCCCAAAGTGCCAGAGAAACATGTTGGGGAAGCAGCTCCTGTTGGCAAAGCTAGTGGTCAGTATTATGGAACCAGAGAACAAGAAATGCCAGAGACATACCCTTACCGAGAGCGATCGGTACCAGCACCTCATCCATATGAAGAGCACAGATTCCATCCGCATGGCTTGTTCGGAAGATTATATTCATCAATGTCAGATACCAATCTTTCTGAAATGGGTTTGAACTATTACTCAGTTAAAGGAGAGCAGCACTTTCATTCCCCTGCTGGAGATTCTGCGGTGGATTTGACAACTATGAAGCATTCCTATAGCCACAGTTTTACAGAGGGAGGTAACATAGGGCACGGGATGCAATATGGCTCTTTCTCTGACCTCCGACAACCCACAGAATTACTCAGTCATTCATATCCCATGCGAAGGTACAGCTCAGCCTCCAATATCTACTCTGATTATAGATATTCATCAAGAGGGGACTTGGCCAATTTCCAGGAAGCCAGCCTCGCTCATTACAGTGCTACAACTGCTCGTGAAATCAGCCGAATGTGTGCAGCACTCAACTCCATGGACCAATATGGGGGCAGACATGCAAACAGCCCAGATCTTCTTCAGTATGGACATAGTGCTCTTGGCATTGCACCAGGAGGGACTGGAAGCATTATGGCTCAACAGGGTGCCATGAAACCAAACATGATGTACAATCCAAATTTCCCAGAGTCTCGTTCTGGCTTTGGAAATTTAGCCCAATATAATCTCTCAAGGCTTGGAGCTGTCAGACAGGTACTCCCTTCCACAGCCACTGTACGAGCTGCTGATGGCATGATTTATTCAACCATTAATACACCGATAGCATCAACCCTTCCCATCACCACCCAGCCAGTTTCTGTGCTACGGCCCATGCTTCGAGGCCTGTACAGGCACTATGCTCCAGGTGGTATCACAGCTGTCCCTCTGGCTAGCCTTACCAGAGTACCCCTAGTTACTCCTAGGATCCCCCTAGCATCTCAAGGTCTTTATCGCTATCCTATGCCCAGCAGGCTTCCAGCAGTTCCTACCGCATCTGTAATGGAAACACCAATGTATTTAGGGAAACCGCTTAGCACCACTGCAGCCAGCACTGCTGCCAGTACTGTAAGCCTAGCACCTGCTGCTAAGTCCCCTGCTCCAAGCACTGCCAGCTTGCAAAGACCTGAGCAGACAGGGGTTGGCATGCGAGAGGAGGTGTCTGTGTCATCTGCAGAGGTCCAGGGTCCTGGCAGGGACACCAGCCAGGCACAGCAGGAGCCACCTCCCCGAATGCCAACCCAGAAGCATCTGACAGAAGCCGCACAGGCCAGCGCTGCTAGCAAAGGAGCTATGGAAAGAGAAGAAAAGGAGAAGGAGGAAGAACGGCAGAGGAAGCAACAAGAGCATATCCTCCAGATTGAAAGGGAAAGAGTAGAACTGGAAAAACTGAGACAGATGAGGCTTCATGAGGAACTGGAAAGGGAACGGGTGGAGTTACAGAGACACAGAGAGAAAGAACAGCTCTTGATGCACAGGGAGATCCAGGAGCTGCAGTCCATAAAGCACCAGGTCCTCCAGCAGCAGCAAGAGGAGCGACAGGCCCAGTTTGCCCTACAGCGGGAGCAGCTCGCCCAGCAGCGCCTGCAGTTAGAACAGATCCAGCAGCTGCAGCAGCAACTGCAACAGCAGCTGGAGGAGCAGAAGAGGCAGAAGAGTACCTTTCCTCCAGTATGTGACCCAGCTGGCAGGATCCCTCCTCAGGTTACCTCTGAGATAACTATAGACATGCAAAGGACCTTGGCCCCAAATGGGCAATACTGGCCACCCCTAAACCAAACCTTCATTGCTACAGCAGCCCCGGGGCAAGAAGGACAAGCGCAGTCTCGCTACCCAGGACTCCAGAGGCCTCTTACAAACTCAGCCTCTGAAATGTCCCTGCAGATGGAAGATCAGTGGGAAGCTGGTCGGGGGATAAAGAAACGGAACTCTATGCCTCGTCTTCGGGACGCATACGATAAGGAGCCCAGCCACGAGCCCTACATGGTGAGAAAGATCACAGACAGCAGCGTGCAGACAGATGAGGAAGATGGCGAGGAACGCTTCTATGCATCCCGGCGGCGCCGTCCTCGGCGCAGCACTGACTGCAGTGTTCAGACCGACGAGGAAGACAATGCTGAGTGGGAACAGCCAGTCCGGCGCCGACGCTCCCGCTTCTCCCGCCACTCCGAGTCGAGTGCAGAAAGCAAGGCAGATTCTTCTGCAAAAGGCACGGCCAGCATAGCGGTCCAAACGATCAGTGACTGTTCTGTGCAGACAGAGCCCGACCAGTTCCTCAGAGTGTCCCCTTCTATCCACATCACTTCCCCTGATCCCAAGGTGGAGATTGTGAAGTACATTTCTGCCCCAGAGAAGACTCAGAGGGGAGAGAGTTTGGCTTGCCAGACAGAACCAGAAGTACAGCCCCAGCCAGGCATGGCGGTCCCTCAGCTCACGGTGCCAACCACAATCACTCCTTACTCCTCCAACATCCAGATGGTTAGCTCCGGTCCCCTGGATCCCCATTCCGTCCAACAGCAAGCACTAGCAAAGAAGAAGCCTGTTCCTCTTGAAATTGGCTACCAGTCTCACTTACCTACAGATTCCTTGTCTCAGCTTGTGTCCCGACAGCCCCCCAAGTCACCTCAGGTCCTCTATTCCCCGGTTTCTCCCCTCTCCCCTCATCGATTGCTAGAGTCGTCCTTCGCATCCAGTGAAAGGCTCAACAAGGCCCACGTGACTCCGCAGAAGCACTTCATGGCCGAGTCCACCCAACGCCAGCAGACCCTGCCTCGCCCCATCAAAACCATCCAGAGATCTTTATCTGATCCCAAGCCCATCAGCCCCACATCAGAAGAGTCTGCAAAAGACAGGTTTTCCTTGTATCAGCACACACTCCTCCCCACCAGCCAGGTAAGACTGCCTTGTGTATGAAAAATGAGCTGGATCTGATAATATTTCAGCTGTTACTTTCAAAGCCCCAAAGATCTTAGATCAGTCCACTGGTTTTATCAGTGGATCCATATATAAGCAGCAGGCCAGGAAAGGAGGAGATGTTTCTAGCTTCAGATGAAGATGGACATATCACTCCTAATGTCCACAGCAGGTTCTGCATTTACACTGTGAACCTGACATCATAATTTGTTTTACATCTCTACCTGCCTGCAGATCCATCAGTAGATCTATTCGTATTCATGCTTCTTTTCACCTGCTATGGGCAGACTGGAGCCTTTTTTAACCCCCAAAGCCCTGTTTTTGTATTTTTAAAAAGTATGACTATTTCATTTCTTTTACTTAAATGGATTGTTGAGAAAATTTATATCAAGCAATAAGCCTGTACTACAGCCAGATTTTTGTCTGACATGCTGAAAATCTATAGCACCAATTTTTCAGAACACATTCCCGGACAAGGAAATATATATGTATGCTTAAAATGTTGTATTTGTCTTCATTCAGTCTACTCAGCATATCTCCCATATGACATTAAATGCTAAGAAACCTACAGGAATAATATAGATGTTGGAGTATCATCCTGTCTCTCTCACATAAATTAGCAATGGTATTCACTACCTCAACAAGCTCTGTTCCATCAGATTGTGGTTAAATTACTAAATGTGTGTGTTTTCATGATACGTTTCCCTTACAAAAATCTGTTTTATTTCCTTTTTCCTTAAATATATTGTTGATACTCTGTGCACACTCAGATACTAAACACAGCTAAGTCCAAAAGAGAGCGTGATCTATTTCTGCATTTTGAGAACATACCTGGCAGTACAGAAGTAAATGACTTGTTTGCCTGCCACCTAGTGGTGGTAAAAAGAAATACGCTTTTCTGCCCTGAATAAAAATACTTCCTGCTGACATGCACAGGACGGTGAACTTTTCCTTCATACTTAAAAGCCATACCGTGTTCTGCAAAACCATCATTCCCTGAGCTGCCTCAGCTAGCTCTCTTTTACAAGATCTGCAGAAAATAAACCAACCGTAGTACCCATCCTCTGTGAAGAAACACCAGACTACCCCGCATGTTCATTCCATCAATCGAGACAGAAGGGGCAAGAGGTTAGAACTGGCAGGGAGAGATTCGCTTTTGATTTCTGCTTCTGACATAGCTGAAAAACAGAGAATGAACCCCATGTTCCTGGAAATGCCAGAAAGGTGTCTGCTTGGAATGCACACATCTATATTCGCTAGGAGATAAAGCTGATGATGTACTTGCCACAAATGTTTCTAGCCTCTTCCCCATTTTTCTGTTAGAAATAGTGGTTAGGGAGGGGGAGGCAGCAGATAGGAGTGGATAGCACAGGGAAGGGGGTTTTCATCCGTTCCTGCTTCTCCAGAAAACCCTTTCAGTTATCCGTACCAAGAGAATTTTCACAGGGATACGGCAGTGGGAAAGAAAGGTAGAATACCAACATGAAATGAAGCTCCTAAAAGAAAAACAAGCCCAGCATAAGTAGCTATTGGCAGTTTTATTGTCTCAAGCAGACTTGAGATCAAGCAGATTCTTGGGAAGTAGTGCACGCATTTTATACTGTAGACCAGAGGAGCCAAAAACATAGCCTGTCAAAAAAACTACTTTATATTTAAAGAGATACAGAGATTCTTTTGATTGCAATGGAAACATATTTGCCAGGTCCGTCCGTCCTTCCTTCCTCCCTCCTTCCCTCCCTCAAGGCATTTCACAGAGAGCTATCTCATCTTCTCTCCTGTTGTATAAAGACAAAATTGTGGTGCTAAAGCATCATATTGAACAGGGGTGTGTGCGTGTGTCTGTGTGTGTGTGTGTGTGTGTGTGTGTGTGCAGAGAAAGGGGAGGTTTGTTCTAACCTGCTGTGTATGCAGTTTTTCCAGCTGTTTCACATGATGAATAGCAATTGAATCTATAGCAGATTTCTCCTGTTCCAGTTCTTTGTTTATTCACTTATATGTTATACTGGGAAAGCTACAGCTTCAGATTGCTTTTTGTTTGCCACAGCCTTGAAAGCATCAGTCCTCCAGGCTTTTCCAAATGAATTAAAAGCCTCATCTCTCCTTAAGTAGACTGAGGGCTTTTGCACAATCCCTAAAACGAATGTTGTCAGTATAGTGCTTATAGATATGCATTTTTGTCCAATAATTTTATTAAGATTTTAAAAAGAACAGTAAAAGATTATACAAAAGAAAAGAAAAAAGAAAAGAAAAAAAAGAATTTTTAAAAATCCCCCCTTTTAAGAAAGTGGCTTCCCACCCTCATCACAAGTAATACACAATTTCATAATTTCACCCCTCTTAATTAAGAAATATAAAACGCTTCATCCCATAACCCATCTCTAATAATAGAGATAGATAATAGAATAATAGAATAATCAGATCAAATAAGTAACATCTTCTCCTTTTCCAATTGTCAGCAAAAAGTTCAAACAGAGCTCTAAAATATTAAAATTAATTTAAAAAATATAAAACTCAACTTTGATTCTTAACTGTAAGCAAAACTCCATTTAAAAGGCATAAAAAAATATAAGCAAACCAAATCTAAAGTTTAACATAGCAAAAAATACTATTTCTCCTTTAAAAAACCCAACAAACTCCAATACACATCCCATTCCAAATGCCACCTATTTCAAAGATTACCACCCCAAATAACAACCCATCCTATTCAAAAAACATTCCAGATCTCAACTCTAAACTATTCACAAATAGAAGGTAAACCCAGCATCCTACTACAAAAAAAAGACTAAAATTTAACCTAACAAAAAAAGACAATTTCTCCTAAAAAAAAATTTCACACAATTAGTTACTAAGCATTTAGATACTAAACAATTAGGTTACAGAAAATAGTTATAAAGTAAAGAATTTAAACAGCAAATAAGCAAATCCAGCATGCCACATTTTTCCAGTCCAGATATCAGTAAATCAAAAAAAAAAATCCACCCAAAGTAACAACATGCTCCATTTTAACCCCGGTTGAATAAGCCAGTTTGTTTGTTTGTTTGTGTGTGTGTGTGTGTACACACACACACACACACACACACATACATACAGAGCAATCTTTCTCTGTAATCCATTCCAGCAGATATGCATTTTTCTGTGTGTGAACATGCTTTGAGCCTCTGCAGATAGCAGGACCTAGCAGACATTTGCTGATCTATGAAGTTAAGTAGGGTTTACCCTGGTTACTACTGTATTTGGATAGGAATTCCAGGGCTACCAGCTAGACTAGGAAAAAAAAATCATGAAAGAAGGCAGTGGCAAATATCTTTAATAACACTGCTAGAAAACTGCATGGATCTAATCACCAGGGACTAAGCTCTACTTGTGGGCTGCTTTAGCTTTCTAACCCTTTACCTTGTTTCCTTACCATTAATCAAGACTGGTACAAGATGCAATTTGCAAATGAACTTCAACCCTTATTTTCAGAATAAGCGTTTGGAAGCAATCGTGTTTAGCAAGTTGGCTCCTGTACTAAAATAGCAAGCTTCATAAAAAAGAGAAAGAATTTTTGTGTGAAAGGGAAGGACAGAGAGCCAAGTGTATGTATGTCTGAGACTACGATTAGAAGATCTGAAAACATATCTCAGTGATGCTTGTGAGTGCGAGTAATGTTGTAATGGTTCAACTGTGAGGTTGAAAAATATTTTGCATTTTTAATACAGCATAGGCTGAATGGATCAGCTATGTGTGACATGGTTGCCAAAAGGCAATTTTAGGCTGCATCAATAGAAGTACAGCCTCTACATTCATGAAAAGTAATATTTATATTATATTCTGCACTGGCCAGTTCCAACCTCAAGTTCTGTTCTGGATCCACTGTTGAAGGAGGAGTCAGACAAATTGGAACAGGGCAAATTGGAAAGGGCAACAAGGATGACCAAGGGTCTGGGAAGTCCTGTGAGAAGAGACAGAAGGAACTTATGTGATTATCATTGATAGAAAGATGACTTTGATGGGATGTCATAGAAATCCTCAATTGCCTGTGAGGACTGCAGCCAGAAGTGGTTCACAACCCATTAACTATCATCCCAGGAGGCAGGCCACAGAATGAGGGTTTTAGGAGTACAGATTCCAGTCGAATGATAGGGGGAAAAATCTTAATGATAGAAGTAGTTTGATGATGGAATGAATAACCTAGGAAGGTGGCAGGTTCTCCTTCTAGACATCTTCAAGTAAAGGTTGGACACTTTGTCACAGTATTTGGGATATTTATCATGACAGTTGGATGCTTACCTGCAACAATACTTTGTAACAAAAGCATATCAACCTTCTTGGCTTTGTTACTAACTATCTTTATGTACATCCAGTATTTCACACTGTGGAACATTCTTTCTATGAGACAATGTCCCCAACAGTACATCTGGACATTTAGTTTGATTAATTGTAAAGCGATGTATATTTTAAAAGACTACCTTCAAATTACAGCTGTATTCAGGCATACATCATATTCATACTGAATCTCCTTGTGTAGATAATGTTAGTATCTGCAGGGTCTTGATATAGTAGCCAGTACTACTCTTTGGGATTGTGCCAAAGAAAGGAAGGGCACATTTATATTTTTCTGTTTCATGTTTGCTCCCAACCACTTCTTTCTTTTTTGCATCCTCAGAGTCCTAAAATCCCTGATTTCCCAAATAACATTTCTCCAATCTATTTAACACACGTATGTCCTAAGCGACAAGAGTAGTGGGGGGCTGTGTATATTTCATAAGATGGAGAAAAGGTTGCACTGTTTTAGTAATCACTGTGAAATCAGCCACATAAAAGGCACCCATATGAATCACAGTAGGGCCCATCTAATCCTGTGTCCCGTTACCAACATGAGAGGGCAGATGCCCCTTCGTGAAATATTCAAGCAAACTGCCCATTCTTCTCTCTTGTAACTAGAGATCACTAACATTCAGTATCAAGACTAATGGTCCTGGATAAGCCTATCTTCC